GGGGTGGGGGGGTGGAGAAGATGGCAAACGATGGCTCAAGGGACCCAAGAGCCCCAGTCGTCGTCTAGATGGGCTCCGCTGCTTCTTTATGGGTCGGCCGCTCCCAGGTTCTCTTTGCCAACGAGGCTCCCCGTTCTCTCTCTCTCTCTTTCTCCGCCGGGCTTTTGAAGCTTGGCCTTTAAAAGATGGGAAGAGGGCTGAGCTTCCCCACGGCATTCTGGGGGTTCTCGGGTCCTCCTCCAGGAAGAGCTGGGAAGGGCTTGGCTAGATGGGCTCCGCTGCTTCTTTATGGGTCGGCCGCTCCCAGGTTCTCTTTGCCAACGAGGCTCCCCGTTCTCTCTCTCTCTCTTTCTCCGCCGGGCTTTTGAAGCTTGGCCTTTAAAAGATGGGAAGAGGGCTGAGCTTCCCCACGGCATTCTGGGGGTTCTCGGGTCCTCCTCCAGGAAGAGCTGGGAAGGGCTTGGGTCTAGAACCCGGGAAAGCGCCTGCCGGAATAAGCAAGAAACACCCGTGGACAGGCGTGGCCTCAGGCAGCTGGTCCTTTGGCCTGCATTTTCCTTTTCTTTGGTGTTAAAACACAAGTTCTTTTTGTTTCCAGCCCCCAAGTCTCCTGAACTGCGCCTGGAGCCGATCAACTGCACTACGGTCTCGGTGCGGTGGCAGCAGGACCTGGAGGACACGGCGGCCGTCCAGGGCTACAAGCTGTACTACAAGGAAGAAGGCCAGCAAGAGAACGGGCCCGTCCTGCTCGAAGCCCGCGACCTGATGCACACCCTCAGCGGCTTGGGTGAGTCTGTGCGCCTCCCTGCGGATCTGGCCGCCGAAGTCCAAGGAAAGGCTCCGGCGGCCGTCCTGGCTTTGATAGCAGTCCGGGAAGGCCATGGTGCCAAAACCCTCATGCCCCAGAAAGGCTGCTGTAGGGTGCCAGGGTGTGTGTGTGTGTGTGTGTTGGTGTTTCAGGATTTGGGACCCTTGGTGTGTGGGCCGCCTTCTGCTCGGGCAAGGTTTGCTGCCTTCTGTTGTTGCGGAATAACTGAACCAGTGGGTTGTATTTTGTAAAATCAGAAAACATTCCAACTTTAATTCCTCTTCCCCCCACCCCACCCCCACCCCCATGGTGGAAAATGGAACAAAACAATCTCTCACCAGAGGGAATTGGCACGATTTAGGCAAGGTAAGGTGATATCTGTGGGACTCTCCATGTGGTAGAACTCAGCCTGATTCCTCTTGACCTCTGTATTGTTGGCCCCAGGCAAGCCCGAGGTGGACTTTTGGAGAGAATGTAAACAGATGCAATAATCGGCCGGCCGTTAAAGAATGATCATGGGCGATCTGGCCATTAGATGCAGCTAATGAGTTTGTGCTCTTAAAGAGGAGAGGGTGCCTCATGGAGGATGATGAGGGAGGATGGGACTTTTGTGCCCCTTGGTGGAATCTCAGAGTGGTGGAGAGGGATGGAAACAGGGCTCAGGAGACCTGCAATCACGTCCCTGCCTGGCCGGGGGAACGCGGAGTGATCAAACCACTCCTTCAATATCTCACATGCCTTGAAAAACAGGGTTACAGCCACCAGAAGCCGGACGCATCCTGGTCGCCCCTAACAGGAGCAGTGGAGATGAACCCGGACTGTGCCCTTGTGGCTCAGGGTTGTTCCTGGGCAAGTGTTTATTCCCTTAAATCCAACTTCTTCCATCCATGGAGGCGCCTGTGAGCCCAGATGAGGTGGAAACAGCTCAGAATTTCCTCTCCAGGTTTTTATTACCTGAGAGGAAAGAGCAGGCTTTTCTGACTTTCCAGCTACCTGCAAATCTTGGGATGACCCCCCCCCCGGATGGCCTCCCCTCACCTTGATGCGCCCCGTCTGTTTGTCGTCACGGCCTGTCTTTCTTCCACCCCGGCCATCACTGCTCAAGAGGCAGGTTGTGAGGATTCAGCCTTTGTGCCTTCCTGCTTCTTGGCCTTGTGTTCCCCCCCCCCAGAAGAAAAGACCAAGGGACTGGGGCTCTTCCAGGCGTGGCCCACTTCGTGGTGTGTGATGTGGGGTTGCCTTTTGGGTGGCCTAATAGCGATAACCCTCCCTCCCCCCCGTGGGTTTTGAAATGCATCTCCTGACTGGTGTGGCTTTGCTTTACTCCAGCCCTGGCAGACCTTTCTCCCCCAGTGCTCTGTCCCTTCTCTCTTCTCCCCACCCACCCCCCGTGGTCAACCAGGAGTGCCCGCAACCCATGGGATGCCTGCGTGTGCGTCCTTCAAGGCCTGCCCAGCACAGAAAATGTTGCGTGCCCTGACTTCTCCCTGGTATAGATGAGGAGAAGTGGCAGCTTTTTTTTAAGGGGGGGGGCTGCTTGTGTACCCATAAAGCGCTGTAACCCTGTGCAGACTTCCCAGTTGCATTGCCAATGTTTTTATTTAAAGTAATGGGCAGATGCTGGAAAATGGCTCAGTGGGGGCTTTATCTTGGGTAGTGGCTGTGGGGGGCAAACCACCCCCTTTCTCTCCTGTTTATGCCTTGCAGTCAACCCTCGGCCATCCCTGCTGGAATGACCCCTCTGTTCTTCCACAGTGTTTTATGGCCTTCTCTAAGAAGGAAAAAGGCATTTGTCTTATGTTCCTCTTCAAAGAGGCTTTTTGCACAGTGTCTGTGGGTCCTCCTTGTTTCTGGAGCTGTGCTTCTTCATTTCCAGAGATGGGAAGGCCCTTCCGCCTCCAAGTATTTTTTTTAAGTGAAACCCAATAAAATGGGAATTAAACTTTGTTGCCCAGAGATAAGTCCGAGCCCCTTTCAGCCCCGATTTGAAAAGCAAAGGCTTTTGAAGCCAGCTTTGGGGGTGGGGTGCTCCTGCTCAAGGAAATTAAATCAACATTGTCTATTAATCATTGTGTGTGTCAAGCCTCAGATCCCTCTCTCGATTGTTCCCGGTGAATGTGAGCGGCCATTAGATGGGTGAGGTCCCCTAAGAGGTCCTGCAAAGTCAAATGGGGAGCCGAGGCTTTTCTCTAAAGCCACCATTAGCACATGAAAGGGAGCCAAAGAGTGAAAAGAAGCTTCCTAGAGAGAGAGAAAGAGAGAGAGAGAGAAACTAGATAGATAGATAGATAGATAGATAGATAGATAGATAGATAGACACACAGACACACAGACACACAGACACACAGACACACAGAGAGAGAGAGAGAGTCAGACTGATAGACGGATGTGAGTGTATATGGGTGGATGTATGAAATTTTCTTTGCTTACTTGACAAAACTCATAAAGTTCAATCCAAATATTTAGTGCAATCCTTAAAGATCCATGTAAGAGATCTGTGATCTATCTCTCAGGTACTGTGAATGAGCACAGGCTAATTTGGTGGAAGTTAGGAAAAAGTTTGCCCTTGTTTTCCAGAAAGAGGCTCCTTCAAGAATGGCAACCCTGGGGTGCCTTAAAGACTCGGACGGCGAGATCCGAGCAAAAGCTTTGGGGAGTGGTGTTGCCAAGGCGGGTTTTCCCAGCGGTGCCCCTTCGCCCACCCTTGTGCCACAGGTGTGTGAGCGGGCTGGTGGGCCTGCCTCCTTCCTTCCCCTCTGCCCACGGCAGCCACCAGTGGCTTGACCCCTATAGGGTCCGCGCGTCTCCCTGCAGCAGGACGCCAAAAGGACCCATTCCAGGCCAGGAACATCTTGTGGGGACTGAGGGAGAGGGAGAGGGGGAGCCTCCCTCGCCCCACAGATGGTTTTGCAATGAGGGCCTCCGCTGCTGGCTGCCCCCCCTCCCCGACCGGCCAGCCGTGCAGCCCAAAAGATGATCGATGGCGTTTTCACATTGCCTGTGGAAGAGGTCAAAGTGCCTTCCAGGCCTCCTGACAGCCCAACAGAGAATGTTAGTTCTGAAAGGAAATTTATTTCATAGCTCCGGGGGAAGCTTGGGTGCCCTGAATGGATTCCCTTTGTCGGTGTCGAAAAATGTACGGTTTATTAAAGAGAAGGCTGTGGGTTCCTCTGTCGGCTGGTCAGTGCAGGGGGGGGGGCGGCGCTCCTGGGGCAGCCACTTAAACAGATGTTAAAACCAAAATTCTGCAGCACCTTTCCTCTCATGGGTCTGTTGGAGAAAACGTGTTTTCGTGGTAGGATGGCAGTATGAGGAGAAAGGACCCCCCGGGGTATCGTTTATCTTCTGTGGTGCCTGAGGAAGTGTCGCCTCTTCTGGGAAGAATGTGGGGAACCTGCTTTTGGGTTTGGGGGTGCTTCTCCAAAGGAGCCGTGCGGTGTTGTAGCCTCAGCACACAGACACAAACCTACAAAAGAAAACATTAAAAAGACACACCTTGCGGCACCTTTTTGCCTTTTTCAACTTTTATTTTGTTTCCCTCTGAGAACGCTTGCACAGACTCAGAGGGCTGCCTGCCTCTTCCCAAACCCGTCACTGGAAAGTTCCTCGCCACCACGTAGGGCTCCCCCAGTTGTTTGTACCGGCTGGTCAGGAATGGGGGAGGCACCTTCCCGCCGCCCCCCCTCGCTCCTTCTCTCCAACCCAGTGTGGCCTCTTTCCCTCTAATTCCATTTAAATGATGGTTGTCTGAGAGGTGACTTTTAGGGGCCATCGTCTCATCTTACAAAGCAGAGGCCAATGAACTCGGCTCAATCTGCCGGGCAGCCACAAAAGCCGGCAAGTGAGGTGGGGAGGGAGGGAGGGAGAGGAAGGGGCTGCCGGCAGGAAGGAAGGAAGGACCCACCGCCCCACGGGGGGGGGCAAGGTGGCGCTGAGCCTGGCAGGCCTTCCTTTGCCCGGGTGGCAAGGGTGGCCGAAGCTTCCTGCCAAGCCCAGCTCAAACAGGCTATTTATTTATTTATTTATTCATTCATTCATTCATTCATTCATTCATTTATTTATTTATTTATTTATTTATTTATTTATTTACAATATTTCCACCCCGTCTTCCTTCTTAGAAAAGGACTCAAGGCAGCTGACAGCATTTAAAAACAATATTTAAGAATCCAACAATGAGTATACAAAAGGGGCATACATCATTAAAAGGCAATATTTAAAGCTGAAAATACGAAGTGCAGAAATATTTAAAAGGAGCAAACAAATTGCCCTATACAAAGGGCGGCATACATGGTTAAAAGGCCCCCTTTAGAGCTCCCGGCCCCTCCGTGGCCCCGGTGAGAGGGTGGAAGAGGCCCGGCCCCACCCCAGGAGCCGGACCTGTTGGGGAGCCCCTTTCACGGTCTGCTGCCCGCCCGAGTCCTGGGGGGGGAGTGCCAGCGGGCCGGCTCCCTCTCTACCCCTCTACCCCCGTGCGCAAAATGGGCAGAGAGCCGCCCTGGGCTCCTGCCCGTTCCTTGTGCCTCTTTGACTCAAGGAACTCTCCTGGCCTATACGCCCTCGCCCCCAGCCATCCTGTGGGGTAGAGTCACCCAGGGGTCCGATCCGAAGCCCCTCTGCCTCTCCAGCTCCCCGCCCTTTGAGACGCCCTCTTGGCCCTTGATGGGGGGCTTGCCCTTCCCTTGGGGAGGCCTGGCCCTGAGAGGTCAGATCTGCCTCCCCAGGGGACGGACACACACACACACACACACACACACACACACACACACACACACACACACACGTGCGCGCTCAGGAGCAAGACCCAGAGTATAACAGCCTAAGGCATTCAAATGCCTTGGTCTCAATATTATGACTTCAGCAGCTCCTTTGTACAAAAACAGCAACAAAAAGGTCATGCTGAGAAGGAAGAATTGAAAAGTTTTGTCAGGAGTTAGCATAACTCCATCTTTTAAAACATAGAAGTTTGCAACATTCCCAATGCATTATTGACTCAGAGATCTGTTGTTGTTATTCTTGTTGTGTGTTATCAAGTCGCCCTTGCCAGAGTGCCCCCTCCCCGACTTGGTCGTTGGTGGGGGAGAAGAAGCGCCGTCTTTCGAAGGGTTTGTTGGGATCTGAGGATTCCTTTACGGAAAAGATGCCTGGCAGGAGAATCCATTCCAGGACCAGAATCCAATGCTGAGGGGAAGTCCTTTGGGGGGGGCGAGCGGGGGCTACCTGCCCCCACCCCCTAACAAGAAGCAGGCTGCTTCTCGGGAGCCCCAGCCTCTCTCCGGCGGGCCGGCTTCTTTAGGTGTGCCATGATCCCAGAAGACGTACCTGTTTGCTTTTCCTCCTACCTAATGGGCTTCGGGTGTATTTACATTTCTGGACTTCAGGCGTGCATTTCTGAGAGTCGGGTTTCTGCCGGCCCTGCCGTTCCCACCCTTCCCCCCCCCTGGACCCCTCTTGCTCGGAGCAGATTTTGGAGAGGCCCAGGTCCCGAGTCAAAGGCCACGACCCAGGTGGCAGAGCAGCCCTCCCGGCTGGCCTCCTCCTCCTCCTCCTCCTCCTCCTCCTCGGGAAGGAGGATCTGGAGTTTATTGTGTTGGAGGGGGAGGGAGGGAGGGAAGGGGGGGTGACCCAGCCGCTCCGGCCAGGCGCTCCAGCCGGACTCTCGGGCCATCCTCCACAATAGCGCGGACCCAGGGAGCACAAAAGAGTCAATGGGGGCTGGACATTTCGTGGGAGGGAGCAAAGCGGGAGGCCCCACTCGGACAAAGCCACTCACCGAATGGACCCTGGCCACGTTTTATTCAAAATGTCAGCAAGAAGAACTTTTGACTAAACTTGCAAATCCGTTTGGAAACAGATCTTCTTCTGTACCTTGCATGCATCATAAACCCTCGAATGTCGTCCAAGGGCGGCCGGCGTTTGCTTTAAGCAAGAGGATTCCTTTTTGTTTACTTGAGAAAGGAATGGATCAGATGCCGCCCGTTTAGGAAACGTGATCTCTCCCTGTGCTCTCCGCACCCCCCCCTCCCTGTTTCTTGCTTTCCTGAACCTTTATCAGTAATGCCTGAGAAGGGGGGGGGCTGGATTCCATGCTCTGAAAGAAGAGAAAAGCCACTCCGTGGTCCTGACCTCGGATTCCTTCTTAATTTTATCTCGCCCTGACCTGTTGGCTCAGCGCAGCTGCCTTTGGAGGCTCCCGAGCGCGTAGCCGGCGGAAAGGCAGGGTGTGCTTCCTGGCGTGGCCCCCTCACGGCCCCCCCCGGGTGACCTCCAGGCCCTGGGTAGGGGGGCTGTTGGCAAACAGAGGCCTTTCTTCAGGCTTTGGCCAAGAAGCGCCCCCCCCCAATGGTGTGGGGAATGTCTTCCTCACACTTGCCAGCCCCCACTTTTGACGCCTGTCTCTTTAGGGGGGTGCGGGCCGGCCTGGTGGGCCTCTTTGGGGCGAGGGGTGCGTCCTGGAGCATTTTTTCTCCAACCTCCAAAGAACAGGGTCTCCCCCTCTCTTTACCCCCCCCCACACACACATCCTGCTCTGGCTGGCTAGTTCCTCTCGTGGAACGTGATGTTGGAGTGTAGGTGTCGCTCTCTTGATCTGGCCAAAAAAAAAAAGAAAAAAGAATTAGAAGACTCTTGCACGCATCCCACGGAGTCAGTGGGGCTGCTCAAGACTAGGGGTGTCGTTTGGAGGAGCCCCCCCTCGCGGGCTGTAGGGCTAGAGTTTGGAAACCAGCCCTGGAAGCTGGGTGAGGGGAGAGGGCCGGGACCCTCCGGAAACTCTGCAGCAATCTCGTGCCCAGCTGTCAGGGGGAGGGCGTGGGGGGCAGGCTTGTTGGGGGGGGCCATTGGACTTTCATGGCAGAGCCTTTAGTGGTGGTCATGGTGCGTGTCCGTGTGTCACACGAGGGTCACCCTCCAGCCACCCCCGTCCCGCCCGTGTCCTCATACTGAACTAAACTGGGCCCCTTCCCCTGGCCGCGCTGCTCTTTCTTCCTGGCGAGGCTGGCAGCCCCCTTGCGCCTTTCCCGGCACGTTTAGGAACTGGGGGGTGGAGGGGCCTCCCCGGCGTTCCTCCACAGAGGCCACCGACAGACTGTGTCCTTTTGCCAGGGTGGCCGGCCATGGCTGGAGAGGTTCTGGGTGGGGGGCTTCTGCCTTGAAAAAACGGTTCTTCACAGCCTCTCGCTTGACGTGCTCCACGTTTCTGGAAGGGAGGGCGTGAGCTCCCTCTGGCGCCCAGATGTGGAGGGTCTCCTTCCCTCCCTCCCTCTCTCTGGGAGCCTGGAGGTGAAAGAGGGGCTTTGGGAGGCCCAGGGAAAGACCAAGGGAGGGGCGGAGGGGGAGGACCTGGCCCTTGGGGCCCCTCCCTGCCCAGCTTGCCTTCGATCTGCCTCCCGGTGAAGTGTGTGCCTCCCAAGGGGGAGAGATGTCAGGCATGGAGCGAAAGCCCCCTTTAGGGATCCCTCAAATAGGCAGCCACCCTGGCTCTCCCCTGGCACGCGAGGTCTGCCCCCTCGGTCCGTCCTTCCTCTTGCACCCTCAACCCAGAGAGAGCCTCGTGTCGCTCCGCAGGATGGAATGTCTCCTTGGCCCACAGACGGGGTTGGCACCTTTGCTCCCTGGCAACCCTCAGGCAGGGACCCTGGGTGGCTGTGCTGAACGCCAGGGTGGCCCCGACTGAGTCGGGTGCTCTCTGGGCCCTCTCTGCCTCCGCTGGGAGATCAGCTGCCCCCCCCACCGGGCATGGCGGGCGGTTCTCTCCTCCTTTGGGACATCTAACGGAGGGGACGTCAGCTCCCCACATCATGGAGGGGGCTGAGAACCGTCACTAGGGCCGGGTCTTGCTCCTAAATCCTGAGGAGGGGGCCTCCCGTCTCTGTGACAGCTGCCTTCCTCCCTACTTGGAGCTTTCCTGTTCAGGACTGTCGGGGGGGGGCGCTGGGTGTGAGTTACCTGACCAAGAAAATGGAGCGTGGCCTGCCTGAGAACCGTCTTCCGTTCTTGGGAAGGCCACCATGTGGGAGATGCAGCCAGTCTCTTTCCTGCGGCTCCAGGAATTGGGACTCAAACCCAGGAGAGGAGGGTGATTTCTCCAGTGGGGGGGGGGTTTGGGGGCCACCGACCAGGGAGACTCAAGGGAGGGGTGGATTCCCTGCTTTGGCTGCAGTTTGGACCCTGTGACCCTTCTAGGCGTCTCATTCCAGCTCTCAGTGAGGCTCCTCTGGGACATTGCCTCCTTTCCAGTCCATGGCATTAGTTCTCGGGAGGGGGGGGGGGCTCTGTCTGTAGCCCCAGAGAGGCAGGTCCTCCTTCGGCCACCCCTCGGGCCGTGAGCTGCAGAGGGAAAGAGCTGCTTAGGCGGCCGACAGGTCTCCCTCGCAGGTCGGCTGAGGAGGAGACGCCTCTTTGCTTGCGAGTGGTCTGACGGGGACAGCAGATCCGTGGGGCGGCTCTCCTCGTCCATTATGGGTCGCGCTCTGGAGCTCAGGCCTTTCCCAGCCTTGGAAGCCGCTCTCCTGCCAGCGGCGGTCGGGGCTTTTGGAGCCTCCTTCCAGGGCCCTTTTGAAGGCCTGGGTACACCAGGGAAGGTCCTGGGTTCTCAGAACGGGCAACAAAGAAAAGTCTGCCTTTTTCCTTCTCCCAAGACTGCCCGGTTGACAAACGAAACCTTCTTCCTGGTGCAGATCCCCGGAGGAAGTACCACGTGAGGCTCCTGGCCTACAACGCCTTGGAGGAGGGCTACCAGGCCGACCAGACCGTCAGCACCCCAGGATGCGTCTGTGAGTCTTTCTGACGCTTTGCCGGAACCCGCTCTGCCGTGGCTCTGGCAGTTTGGGCAGGGCACCGTTTGGGATCCCCGAGCCCTCCCTGTGGCCAGAGGGGCCTCCGGGCCTGTGGGAAAGGACGGCTCTGTGGGGTGTGTGCGCCCAAAGGAAGGCGCGGCCCAAAGGATGGGTGGAGCGGCTCGGTCTCTCGGGTCCAGGAGGTTCCTCTCGGCTGGGGCGGCCCGAAGGGAAGGGAGGCCGAGCAGCTTCCCAAGGTTCAGGACGAGACCCTCGGTTCCCTCAGGAGAGCACAAGAAGAGGAAGGGATCTAGTGGGAGAAGGAAAAGGTGGGGGCGGGCGGAAATCCCAAGTGGCCCCTCCGGTTCTTGGTGCGGATGCCCCGTGGTGCCACTTGTGGAGCCCTCAGCGTTTGTGTTTGAGCAGGGTCACTTGGGGGCTGGGGTCTTTGGAGAAGACCCGGGGTTGTTTGAGGTGGAGCCATCCTCCTCCCATGCCCCCCCCTCCCGCAGCCCCGGCAGCCCTCCACCCTTTGCCGCTGACCCGGCTGCCTTCCTGCTCTCCCCAGCTGTCCGTGACCGCATGGTCCCCCCGCCTCCCCCTCCTCACCACCTGTACGCCCGGGCGAACTCCTCCTCCGCCATCTACCTGCACTGGGGCCGGCCGGCCTTCACCTCCGCCCAGGTCCTCAACTACACGCTGCGCTGCAACCCGGTGGGCCTCCAGAACGCCTCGCTGGTGCTCTACCTTCAGACGTGCGTATCGCTCCCTCCGCTTCCCTGCCCCGCAAAAACCTCCTCAGCAACCCCCCCCCATCCAGACAGACCCTGGAGCTTTGCTTTGCTCTCTCTCGATGGGGCAGGAGTCGGGCCCTAAGAATGAGAGGGCCCCCCCCTGTGATGCCTGCCCCCCTCGGTGGCCCATTCAAGCTCCTCTTCAGCGGCCCAGGCTTATTTTGAGCGCCTGGCTCGGCCTCTGAGTGAAGCGGTCCTCAGAGGTTACCTGCCAAGCCAGGTTGCTTTCTTCATCAGATGCATGCACCTGTGTGCATGTGTCTGTGTGTCGGGGGGGGCGGCTATCAGGAAACGCCAGCCACTTCAGTGGTTTGAAGGCCAACCCCTCCCTCTAAAAGCCAGCACGCTTGCGGCCTCCCTCTCGCAGCTCTGAAGGTTGCAACCCAAGTTTGCAGATTTTTAAAAGGCCTTCCGAAATGCATGTAGCACAGAAGCATGTAAAACGACAGAGACATATGGGCAGGAATACTTTCTCTTAGGAGAAATTTCCCTGCCAAAAATGCAGAGAATTGAAAAATGCATAGACTTTGAGAAACTCACAGGAAAATCCATGTCCAGTTTCTAAAAGTTGCAAACCGGTGCAGAAACAGCTTGGAGCAAATTGAATTTTAAAAAAAAATGAGCCAGTGAGCAAAATGAAGCTTGGCCCCTGGCCATAACAGCTGTTTCTGTGAGGATTCAACGTTGTTCCAGATCCCGTGAGCTGCTCAGTTTGGGCCACCTGAGGAGATGAGCAGAGAGCCAATAATGCAATTAATACAGATGCCATTTCAGACAAGCTGGCTTGCCTACATCTGTTCTCTGGACAGCCCCTCTCTTGGACAGCCTCTCCTGACAGAGGGACCCCCTGAGAGAGATGCTTCCCGTCTGCAAGGGCTGGCCTTCCCATTCTGCTAGAAACATGGGTGTTCCCTCTGGGGCCACCCTCGAAGGGGCTAATGCGGGAGAGCAGGGGCTCCTCGTGGAGCGGGACCGTCTCTGGCCTCCGGTATTCAGCGTGCCTTCCATGCTTCCAGATCTGAAACCCACCTGCTGGTTCAAGGGCTTGAGCCAAGCACCAAGTATGAGTTTGCTGTTCGGCTGCATGTGGACCAGCTCTCCAGCCCTTGGAGCCCCGTGGTATACCACACAACCCTTCCAGAAGGTGAGAACGTGTAAGATGACGACACCACCCTGGTCAGGTCACCCTAGGAGCTGTGACCCCCCCCTCCCCCAAGTGTGTGGCTGGTGGACCAGTCCACACAATCCCTGCCCAGTGTGGGGTGGACGTCCTCCTAAGGCCGTCGCTTGCCCAGCTGGCCCGCCAGGCCGGCCCCAGCCCCACCTGAAGGCTGATCTCACCGGCGGAGTTTGAAAGGGGACTTGAAAGGGGAAAGTGTCTCCTCCTGCCCTTTGCAAAGCCACGTTTTGCCCTTCTTTGTGGCAGGGGTTCTAAAAGGGGCCCTTGTCCTTTTGCTTCTGAAGTGGCTCTTCACGGGTTTGATTTTGCGGGACTGGAGAATGGCATGAAACCCGAAATGCTTTCTTCGAGGTGCCTCCAAGTGGAAAAGCAACGACTGTTGTTATTAGTTATAACAGTTCAAGGGCCTTGTTCCCCACTCCCTGGGGTCCTTTATAAAATTTCAAATGGGGAGGGGGTGACTCATGACCACGAACAGGCACTTGTTTCTAGGGCCGCCACCACCACGTCCACCCGCACTTTTTTTTTGCGTGTAGGTGGATCCCGAGCACCATCACCCTCTGTGGCTGTTTTGTGCCCCTGTTTCAGAGGGGGAAACGCTCAGAGCAAGTCGTGCTTTCAGTTGAACTGGGTTGCTTTAGGAAGGTTTCTTGCTCCCACACAGGGAGCAGCTGTTTGGTGTGTCTTGCAGTCTGGTTCTGTGGTTGGTGTTTTTGGAGACCTGCCAGTTATTTGGGATGGTCCCTCTGGAGGGAGTGTGTGTGTGTGTGTGTGGCTCAGCAGTAACATGGGTCCTTCTCCCCCTGCGCCACAGTGCCATCTGGCCCCCCACTGGGGGTGAAGGTGACTCTGATAGAGGAGGACACCGCCTTGGTGTCTTGGAAGCCGCCCAGCCGAGTCGGGACCACCGTCTCGCGATACACCATCCTCTACGCCTCACGGAAGGCCTGGATTGCCGGCGAATGGCAAATCCTGCACCGGGAAGGTGAGCGTGTCTGGCTCTCCAAAAGCCGGAAGGGGCGTTCTGGGTCTCTTTTGCCTCCTCCTCCTCCTCCATATAAACTTGCTGCATCTGACATCTATGGCCGCTCCCGGATTCCTCTACCGTCTGCACCACTGACCACTCCGCCGAAGAACCAGAGTGCCTTCATGGTCAAAACAGAGAGCCTGTTTTCCCCAGGCGTGAGGCCTTGTGTCTGTTCACAGGAGCTGTGTGCTTACGAGCAGACGGACAGAAACCATGCTTCCCTACTTTTCCTGGTTCTGTTTTGACTTGGGAGGCAGTGACTCTGAACGGGGGGGGGGGGTCCCCATTGCATCCAACCCGGTTTCTACGGCTATTTAGCCAAGCTTTCCACTAATTGTTGAATATGAGCAGTATTGTGGAGTAGCCACTCTCCGCCTATTTTTTGGGGGGGGGCATGGACCTTTTAGGAGCCTTCTGAGATTGCAAGGCTCGCTATACAACAAGGGACAGAAAAACAGAATGGAAAATGTCTCAGTCTGTAGCTCCCTTCAAATTTGCCACCACGGAGAAGAGTTGCTGTAGAGTATTGATGTTTATCTAGTAGTGTAACAGCTGCAAGGCCTAACAGCAAAAAAATGAAGTATTGCAATAATATGATTGGGCCAGTAGGAGAGGGCACGTCATCCCTCATGTCGCATCACGAACCAGAGGGAATTGGGGTGGGTGGCGGGTGGCTTTGCTCCTACTTTGCCTGTGCCGGTTTGCAGGAGGAGGAATGGGTGGCGCTTTCAGAGACTGATATGCTGACTGAGGGATCAGGTTTCTCCTCCGGGTGCGCCTGCAGTTTCCACGGGCAAGGTGGGAGCCAAACCAGGGTTCTTCTAATAGGCCAAGAACCGCCTCCTTAAGATTCCCTCAGTTTTGTAACAGAGGAAGCCAAGTCCAAACAGAAACAAACAAAACCGTCCGCATCCATTTCCAGGGCTTTTCCTTGTACTGCCGCCTCTGCTTTCAAAATGTGTCATGCAACAATTATGATAAACAGCGCTCTGCCACTTCGGATTTTGAGCTTGCTTTATGGTTTCTTTCCCTTCTGTGAAACACCTCTTGCGGCACATCTTAAGGTAGAAGAGGAGGGAACGAACGGGGGCTGAAAGAGCAGAAGGGGCAGAGGCCACCGTCTCTGTTTTCTGGGGTGGGGTTCAGGGGGGTGGGTGGAAATGGAAGCCAGGTGGTGGCCAAGTTAGGTTTTTAGGGAATACCGTTCTGGGCTCTACCGTGTCTGAACGGACGCCTTCTTCCTTCCTTCCTTCCCAGGAACGATCACCATGGCCCTGCTGGAGAATCTCACCGCCGGAAACGTCTATCTGGTTAAAATAGCAGCATCCAACGAGGTGGGGGAGGGTCCCTTCTCCAACGCGGTGGAGCTGGCCGTCTCGCCGAAGGAAGCCTCGGAGTCGAACCAGAGGCCCAAGCGCCTCGATTCTGCCGACGCTACTGACCTAGGTGTGAGCGCCAAACGTGTGGAGTAACACCCGGCTGTTTAGGTGGTGGTGGTGGTGGTGGTGGTGGTGGTGGTGGTGGGGACCGCAGGGGGAGGGCCAGGGCCGGTCCCACGCACATGCCTCTCGTGGACACTGGCGGTTCCGCTCGGTGAGGTCCCTCCCGGCACAGTCCTGCCGGCCAGAGGTGAGGCAGATGGCAGGGGTACCGGGGCCGGTTTGGTTCTTTAGCATCGCCTCTTCTAAACAACCCAGAGGGCCCCCACCCTGACCCCTCGCTCGCCCTCCTGCCAGCCCTGTGCAGGGGGTCCCCCTCTTTGGCAGAGCTGGACCCAAGGTTTGGGAAGAAAAGTCCAGGGCAGGCGGGCAGGAGAGCCTGGCGCTGGGGAGAAGGGCGGCTTGCGTTCGAGGGGGCCCACCAGCGTCCCCCCTTTTTTTTTGGCCTGTGCTTTTTCCTCCCTCTTTGACAAACCTAAGGGTGAGTCCCAGTGAGGGGCGCTCCATCTTTTCTGGCTGTCTCTGGAACGAATCCCCTCTGCCACCAGACACGGTGTCTCTCCTGAAGAGGTCATTTGGGTGTTGAAAATGGCCTCTGAAAGGGAACTGAAGAGAAGGGCTTGCTGTCGAAACCCACCCCCACCCCTCAAATGCAGTGTCCATGGTGGGAGGGAG